AGTCACAATCAAAACCCGGTATTAAAATGCTCGACCCGGAACCATGCTTCAAGAATGAAGGCGGATATCCGCAGCTTTTTAGGGCAAGGGGATTGTCCCTAACCTTCACTTCTCCGGGCTTTGATACTCTGGGCTGCCCTCAGATCCCCCCGCAAAAAGTTCAAAATTCAGTGGGTTACATGAGAAATTCACCCCAGCCAACCCACCAAACACTAAAAAAAAAAAAGGCGAACGGGCTCAGGAGCCGGATGGCTGGTCAGAAGTAAAGGTTAGGGACAATCCCCTTGCCGTAAAAAGCTGCGGATATCCGCCTTCATTCTTGAAGCATGGTTCCGGGTCGAGCATTTTAATACCGGGTTTTGATTGTGACTCAGGAGGGTTTGGTTTTGTGTTTTAAAAGTTTAAATTCAGTGGGTTACATGGAAATTCACCCAAGCTAACCCACTAAACACTAAAAACAAAAAAGGCTCAAGGGCTCAGGAACCGGATGGCTGGTCCCTCACCTTCAGAACTTCATCTGCCCCAGGTGGACCTTGAGCTTTGAAGCCCCGCGGCCCGGCATAGACCGGGATCCTGGAATGCCCGCAGCTGTCGATCTCCTCGCGGCGGCTTTGGGGCCCAGCGGCCCGTTTTCGGGTTTTTTTTTCCGCCGGAAGTGGCGAACCTTTACCTGGGTGCTGTAAGGACCCCCCTGCAAAAAGTGGACCACTTTTTGGGGGGGCGAAAAGTTGAAGTTTAACAACCCAATAGCAGTCAAGTTTAGCGGGTGAAATGGAAGTTAACCCAATAAACACCGAAAAGCTAAAAGCCTAAGGAACCGGACGGCTAGGAGCCACCCACTTTTCCAAGGCCCAGTGATGCGTCCGATTTTTCTCGGAGACCCGATCGAGCAAATAGAGGACTTCGATCGAGAGAAGGTGGCGAGATCTCGCGGGTTGCCCTTGAAATGGCAAGGAGAAACCTATGAAGTCCAGGAGCTCAGGGAGGGAGAAGCTTTGGCTTTGTTGTTTGTTTTTGGGTGTTTTCTTTTTTTTGGGGGGGAGGGGGGTATAATACAATCTAATATCCCAGTATCAGTATCATACTTACTTCTACGTGCTAAATGATTGGAGCCAGGCTCAAAGAAGTCGAATCCACGCTCAGGCAAACTGGCCTGAAGTGACACCTGATATTGGGGGGCTCCCTTGTAGATACATCCACACCTCGCACGTCCTTGCTGCCAGAATCGAAACAATGCGACATGTGCGCCTGGCATAGCCCAAATAAATGCTGGCTGACTTTGGAGTTGCTGCCCTTTTCGCCTTTCCAGGTTTCACCAAGTTGGGAGACCACCACTTCTAGGCGTGCATGAGTTTTCCTTCGGTTTTCCCTTCAAGCACCGGCTTTTGACAACTGCCCGAGATATATCCCTCAACACATCTGCCACCCACCAGCCCTTACCCACCTCATCTCACCTCATCACCTCATCCCACCTCATCCCACCTCATCCCACCTCATCCCACCTCATCACCTCATCCCACCTACCCCGCGAGCCCGCGCGAGCCCGCGAGGCGGGAGACAGCTCCCGAAGGCTCTCGTTCGAAATCTTGGAGTTGGCGTCCAGCCTGAGGGTTGCTCACAACCGATGGCTCAGGCTCCCTTCTGTCCCCCGAAATGGGTGTCACCCCCCCCCCTGTTTGACGGATCAGATCAGATCTATTCATCACCTATTCCTTAGAACCATCGAAGAAAATAGGCCCACCCAATGTGCTATTGAGTGAGTCCCGCCCCTTCCAAGCGAAAAAAATGCTACCCTTCCTCCAACAAACATGGCACCTATCGAAAGGTACTTGGAAGATCAGTTTCCTTTTAAAGGAACCCCCTGTGCCATGTTAGTGGGAGGGAGGGCAAAATGGCTTGGCCCCCCCCAACCCCCCGGTGACCGAGGCCAAGCAACATGTGCGCCTTGCGCAGCGGCACCAGCGCCTGGGGGCCAGAACGATCACCTGTTGGAACCTGTAAAAAAGTGGGAACCCCAGCACTCACCAGCTAGGTCCTCCAGATTTGAGAGGAGAGAATAAGGGTACCCATTGTTTTTGTTTTTTTTGTTCTCGGTTTTGTCTATTTTAGTAGAGGAACCCTCCCCCCAAAGAAGGGTAGAAGCGCACCTAGCTGGGGACCTGGCCAAATAGAGGATGTCACTTCGACCTTTCGGGGTTCCCACAAGCCCATCCCCGCTTTTTGGGGAAGCGCCTCCTGCGCCGTCATGTGCGTCAAGTTCATCACGCCGTGCATGATCTTGATCCTCGCTTCGAGTGGTCTCTGGAGACTTGGGTCTTTTGGGAGGCTTTGAAGGGAAGCCATTTTGGAGAGGCCCCTTAACACAGACACACCCAAATGGGTCTGCAGCTGAAGTTGGGAGATTCCACAACCCCCCCCCCAAAGAAAGAGGGCTGTTCTCCTGGAGAATGGGGGGGAGATTCGACCCCCCCTCAACAAAAATGGCGGCTCTCACAGCAAGGAAACATGCGTCTTGGCGCTATGCACTTCAGCACCGTGGGGTTTCTTGCGGTTTCATCTCGAGGTGCTTCTACCCCTTTCACTTGCCCCTTGGCATAACCCAAACAAATGCTTGCTGACCCATCTTTGGAGTTTGCAGGTTTCAAGTTGGGAGACCACCACTTCTAGGCATGCATATGCATGCATGAGCCTTTTTTTCGGTCCAAGATAAGGGGGGGCGGCCAAAAACTCCGAAGCAGCGGCGAAAAAGCGGCGCGCCTCTTGCTGGGGCCCCGGCTCGTCCCTCTCCTGTAGCCGGAAGACGCCCGAGGTGAGGTCCCCTGGCTTGAAGGTGATCCTAAGTCATCCGCTCGCGCTACGGCTGCTGCGGCTGCTGAAGTGGGGGGGAGAAGCTTTGGAGCTGTTTTGGGAGGGTTTTAGGGGGGTTTTAGGGGGGGGTTGAGGGGTTTGGGAGGTTTGGGAGGTTTGGGAGGTTTGGGGGGTTTGGGGGGTTTGGGGTTAGGGGGGGAGAAGCCTTGGTGTGCTCGGTGCTCGCTGTGGCTGCTGCTACCGCTGCTGAAGCGGGGGGGAGAAGCTTTGGAACAGCTTTGAGCCGGACGCTCCAAGGACCGCCCGCAAGGATGGATGGACACTTAGGGGCTCATTTTTTGGGGTCCCAAAACCAAAAAAAAAACGCAAATAGTCCAGGAGGAGGTTGCAAAATGGACTTCGGCCAACTTCCCGAACTCAACCACCCCCCTCCGTTTTCACTTGGGCCCTGGGACAAGTCCGAGAACCATCCAAGCCAAGAGGCAGGTGCTCGTCCTTGCGCTCCCGGTGGCTATAGAGCTTGAAGGCAAGGTCGGTGCCTGGCTCAAGGAGGCCCATGCTTCTTCTTGTTGGGGGGGGGAGGGGGTTGGGAGGGTTGGGGAGGGAGGTTCTGAAAAGGTGTTGGGGGGGGGGGAGTGGCCTACAGGTCCCAAAAAAAAGTCGCCGGAGAGCGAGAATGTTGGCCAAGAACGCTGGCGTGTACTGCCTGAGCGGGTCCCAAAAACAGTCATGTTCCTTTGGACAAGGAGCTGGCGCCTCGCAATTTGTCGGTTGCGGCCCACGTGCATTCTTACAACAAGTTTAGGCATGGTGGCGAATTGTTTCTGGGGTCCTGGGGAGAAAAACCACGAGCTCAGGTGACATCCCCAACAGCATGCGGTGCTCTTTTTAGCGCGGAACCCTGGTGGAACCTTACCTCAGGGCCGCCCCGGACCACCCCGGAGCCTATCTGGGCTGAGACCCCCAAAGCTTCCAGCTGTTAGGGGAAAAACAGCCTATCTCTTTTTGGCTTCTTCTTTGGAAATGCGAAATGCTACAACAAAACCGGCAACAAGCAAGAGCCCGGGCAAACTACTGCAACTCCTAAACTTCCCAAACGGCAACAAAAATTGAGCTCGTTTTGGGCCCTGAATCCGGGGAAAAGTTCGCGGGACTTCTCTTGCCCAGATTGTGTGGACGACCTCCCCTAGCCTCCCACCAACTAACATGTGCATAGACCCCTGTAGAAAGACTACTTTCCTCTTGGAAAGGGCCTTTTTGCACTTCCATGTTAGTTGGTGGGAGGGTAAAGGACTTTATCAGCAACATTCCACCCTACCCACGAGCAACGCAAGAAAAATGAAAGGCACAAAGGTTTATGCTTTCGTGGAGGCCCTTCTGGCTCTGATCTCAGAGGTCTCCTATCTTGGATGCAACCCAGCTCGGCGCCTCTTGATTTTGAAGGCCCCAAGTTAGTAAATCCACCTGTGGGACCTGCTGGAACAAATATCCTTCTCCCATCATGGTGTCCTTTTGGATACAGAAAAGTGGCGCACATGTCCAAGCCTTCCTTGCCCAGGACCCCCCTCCGTGCCCGGGGTTCAACCTCGGTAAGTAGGTTTTAGGCATGGTCAAAACTGGGATAACCCCGGTCTTGCGCCCTCCTAGCCATATGCCCTGACGTCGCTTGAACGCCCAAGGCACCCCTCCCCCCCCCCACCCCACCCCCATCGACTCTCTGAGGCTTCGCCTGCTTCCTCCTCATCCATGTGCCAAGGCTCGCAGGGCACCGTGTAATAGGTCTGCCCCACCTAGCGGTCTCACTCGGCGTGGCTGGATGGCCGGTTTTGATTCTTCTTGCTGGTGCGATAGGTAGGGAATGACCCAGGGTGTTTTGGAATGAACCAGGGATTCCCCTTAAAGGAAATCACAAGGGATGGTTTATAGGGGTCTCATTCCCTGCTGAGAACAAGCAAGTTTTCAGGGGAGACCAGAAGGACACGCGGATTCCCCGATTGTTTGGGACACACCCGCGTTGCGACCGCCGTTGCGACCGCCGTTGTTGCGACAGGGAACTCTTGTCTACCGGCTCTTTTGTGCCGCTTCAAGCGGAGAAAGCCAGCGGCTCGTTCCCCACCGCTGTCTTGAGGATGCCCAAAGAAAGCGACACGTGTTGCCACGCGGGAGGCTGTTCTCCGCGCTCCAAGCTTGCCCTTCCAAGCTTGAAGGCACAAAACGGACTTCAGGCACCCTTTGGGCATAGAAAAACATACTACCTTGGAAGGCAAAAAAAAAATCGGACGAACCCGAAACCCGAAACCCCCCGGGCGCTCCAACCGCAGGGTGGGGTTTGACAACCCACTCTGGGTCCTCTGAGTCGCTCCCCAAACTGGGCCCCTGGGCTTCAAGTGTCTGGTTGGAAGCATGGCCTCACCCCTTCCAAACGCTAGGTGGGGTGGGGAAGGGAACCCTACCATTTTGTCCCCTAACATCACCGCCGCTACAAACTCAGCTTTAGATGCTGGCCAAAACGGCGAGGTGGGACAAAAAAAACCAAAAGTGGACATCTGAAGGACTTTTTTCCCCCCACCAAAAAAAAAAAAAACGGCAAACGCTACTTCGCTTCAAGTTCCCCCATTTTTAAGCCGCCAAAATGGGGGGGGAGTTCCCTAAAACAAAGCCCAGACCTTTTGGGAGGAAGGCGAGCGGCCTTCAGCTTCGTGGACCGCGCCGGGATGTCCTCCGTCTCCGTAAAGATCACCTGTACCCGGCAGTGCCCTTGGGGTTCAAATCCATGTGAGAGTTGTTTTTTTGGTTGTGTGTGTGTGTTGCTGTTTTTTTTGGCACTCCGGAGGGGTTCAAATCCATGTGAGAGGAGGTGTTGTTTTTTTGTTTTTTTTGTTTTTTGTTGTGTGTGTGTGTGTGGTTTTTTTTGGGGGGGCAGGGTTCCAGAGAGAGAAGAGGAAACGGACTGGCTCCCCCCCGCCCTGGTGCTCGGCTTCCCTGTAAAAGGGTGGCTTGGATTAGTGTGCCGGAGGGTTTCAAATCCAATTCCACGCCGCCAATTTTGGCCTCAGGCTCTTCACATCCCCTCCAAAAAAGAAAACGCGAATCCGAAGCGAGGCGGTTGGCCTGGTAGTTGATTGAACCGAACCAGGGAAACCAAGAATCGCCCTCTATTTAGAATAAGGGTACCCTTTTTTCCGCTGCCTATTTTAGTAGGGGAACCCTCCTCCAACTGGGTGACCTAGCTTTCCAGGTGGCTTGGAAGGGGGCAAGCCGCAGGAGAACCGATGCCTCTTTGCTTTTTTGGAGGGGGTAAGGGTTTAACAGGCGGAAGGGAGACCGAAGGGAAACACACGCATTTATAAAAACCTCCTTTTTTGAGACATACTCCTTTTGACTGCAAATCCTGCAAATAAAACCAAGACCTGAAATAAGAGGCAAACAGATAAATGGCTCGTGTTACCCCCAGGTGAGAAACTATTTCAACAAGCTCCTTACATAGTCTATAACGCTTGTCGAAGTACCCTAAAGTTTTGTTTTGGGGCGCAACCAATTTTAAAGGGGTTCCGGATCACTCTTGTCACGCACGTTGCATAATTTCATCGATTGCCCCCTTCATGGGAAACCCGGCTTAAAAAAACTCTACGCTTACCCAACTGTAAACCTATTTGCAACCGATCCTGCGGATTCCCACTCCCAGTTGGGACAAACGTTCCCCCACGAAGGTAAAGGTATTGAGGGAATGGTCCTTCATGTGGGGTACGGGTTTTGTTTGCTGTTGACCCCTCTGCAACAAAAGCTCAACATTTGCTGTGTCTCCAACTCGGAAAATCCGAGCTGTTTCAACCAAAAAGTTAAAGTCCAAAGATCCAAATGGCCATAACGGGCCCCTTCCATGCATTTACTTCAAGGAGTAGAGACATCTGCTCTTGTTTTTTTGTTTTCATGTTTTTGGGGTTGCTTGTTTTGCTTTTGAATATGTATATATATATATATGGCTTTTAAGGTAGAAGCATCTGCTCGTTGCTTTTTTGCTGTTTGCGTGTGCTTTTTTGGCTTTTCAGGAGCAGAAAGTCTCTTTTTTTTCCCGCCGCGGCACCACGCTCTCGGAGTTGAAGGCGTGGGGTTGCAGCGTGCAGATGATGCCCAGCTCCTTGTCGTCGTGACATCGGAAGACCGCCTCGGGTCTTGGTGGACGTTGGGTTTGGGGAGCAAAAGCTCAATTTTTGGCAGTTAAGTGGAAGGGGATTTCAACCACTAAACCACAAGAAGCAAAAATGGGCAAAATGTGTCCCAACGACAACCATGGAGTGGCGAGGAATTCTCCGGCTTGCGAACGGGCGTCCCTTTGCCAAGGGACCCGTGGGTTGCCATGGGTGAACACAAAAGAAGACGGGCACCCAATTTGTCTATTCAAAAAAAACAAAAAAACAAAAACAAAAAACGGGCACCTTTTTCATTTGTTTGCTTTTGTTTGGGGGGGGCTGGGGGGAGGTTGGCTCGCAAGGGTTTCTGTTCCACGGGATTCGTGTTGAACGGTTCCTAGCACCTTGGGGCTTCTGATTCAAGGGCTCTGAGACCCCCATGGCTAGGGGAGACCCGGGCTCCCTCCCGCCCATAGACGGTGCTCGGCTTCCCTCTCTAAACGGGTGGCTTGGATTGGTGTTCCGGCGGGTTTCAAGCCAATTCCAAGGCGCCAAATAACTCGGTTGCTTTCTGCTCCCCTGCTGAAAGTTTAACTTTTAGTGGTTTCATGGAAAACCCATTAGTTGGCAACAAGTTAAAGTCCTAACATCCAAGCAAAATGCAACAAAGAATTTACCTCAGGCTCTTCACATCCCCTCCAAACAATGAAAACGCGAAGCCGAAGCGAGGTGTTTTGGCCCTCTCGCCTGATCTTCCTCCCCGGTGCCCGCACGAAGACCCGCGTGCATGGACACGATCGCACGCAGCTCGGCCTCTTTGGCTCGGTCGGGCGACCATTTTTTCAAGGGGCTGATTCCCCATTATTTTTGGTGGTCGCCCGACTTTTTCAGTGGGGCCCACGGCTGAGCACATGTTGCAAACAACCCAGCACTCGAGGGGCTGATTCCTTGTCGATTCTTTTTAGCCTTCGTTCTTTTCAAAAAGCAGCCATTTCCCCAGGGTTTTTGGTGGTTTTCTAGAAACAAACTCCGTGGAAAGAATGGGGAAGTTACCCCTAGAACTTGCACGCCCCAACCGCAAGGCCGAAGGTGCCTCCCCCGTTGCCCCAGAAACCATGACTAAAAGTGGACCAAAAGGGGGGAGCCAAAAGGTCAAAAGGTCGATTCGCTTTGGCAACTGAGTTTCATTTGCTATATATAGTTGTTGTTTCTGTTTTTCTTTTCTGGGGAAAAAGTAAACATATCTGCAGTAGTGATACATTCCCTTTAAGACCAACAGGGGGAAATAGCAAATAATCATTTCAGCACATGGGAAAACCGCAATTTCGGGGGACCGGGACCAAGGGATGTTCATGCCAAGGGATGACCCTGGATTGATCTTCTTGAAGGCTGTGCCACAAAATGAAGTCGGACTTGAACCAAAGCCTGCGCTGGGGATATATCATCAGTCTAAACTCCACCAGCCGCCTAGAGATTCCATGAGGTAGAGGCCCCTGAAAAGGGGTGTTGCAACTGAAAAGTTGGCAGAAATTGGTGGTCAGAACCAAGGAACCGATCGGTTCAAAATGTCTGCCTTTTCCAGAGTGGCTCATGCCCAGTTTAACCTCCTGGGGCCGTGACCAAAAGATAGGTCGAAAAGTCGATTCGCCCAAGGGGCAGGTGAGCATCAAGCAGAAACCCTTAGGGAACAACCCTGATGAACCCTAGTTTACACGGAAACAACAGCCAAATCGATTCGTCAAACAACAATTCCCATCAGAGCAACCTCTGGGTCTATGCAACTGGTTGCTTAGTAGGAGGTCTGAAAGAAGAACAAGAAAGCTTGGGATAAGATGGGAGCACAATGGATTGTGGAATAGTTTCTGGTGCTATCAGCCACTGTGTTGCTCTCCCGTTGGGTAAAACACAACTTATGAGCTACATGGCCAGAAGAGCCACCTAAGGAAGACGATTCCAATCGACCAAGCCACAAAGTTGTAGCGGCCCTTGTGGTCAGCACCCAGCACGTGGTCAAGCCTTAGCTTTCGGCGGCTGCAACGCCGGGAAACAGCAAGTACTCTTCATGGTGGCCATGCTTATATCGGTATGGAAGAAAGTATCGAAGAATTCCGCGGCTACCGATCCGCTTCTGGCCTTTTACTATATAGCATATGATAACATAAGCCAAATGGGTGTGTCTTGCTTTGAGGGTAGCCGTTCTGTCGTGGTTCTTGAATAAAAACAAAAAACAAAACATTACTTTTGGGGGGTCCAATTCCTAAACAAAAAACACACCCACAGGGTGGGAACGTGTTCCAAAGATCTTTTGTTGGGTCCCGAATTGGACACGCCAGGCGGGCTTTGGTGGCCTTCTCGAGGAAGAAAAAGAAAGAAGGAAGGCAGAAAAAGAAGGAAGGAAGGAAGGAAAGACAGAAACCTCCACTTCCATGAAACCTGACCAGGTACTTGGGGGCAGACCACGCATACACACGCACACCGAACTGGGTCCGGTGGCCGGTGAAGCATCGCCGGGGAATTCTTCTCGAAGGAGGACCGTTCGAAGGCGGATAGCCTCTCCTTTCTTGATGCTCGGAAATCACCCTTCTCAGGATGGCCTAAAGGGAAGCAAAAAGGAAAACTACGTTTTATCCATATCTACATATACACACATATATATATATATATATGTGTTTATACATTTGGAGGGGGAGGGCGGGGGGCCCTGAACCTCCTGGACTCATGGACTCATTGGGGGGGGGGAGGGAGGGGGAGGGGGAGGGGGAGGGGGGGAGGGGGGAGGGGGGGGCCATGCCCAGATCGCCGGAGAGATCGAGCCGAGCGGCACCTTGGCGATGGGCCACGAGACGGGCGTGAGGAGAAACATGAAGGTGCCTCAGATTCCAGCGGAATACCCCAAACCATAGGTGTCCTTTAACTAGGACAGCCCGGGCAGACATCAAGTAGGAGACTTCGTTGAGGTGATTCATGTAACGGCCAACCAGGGGTTCTGGCATAGGTGTCCAATTTTAGGTTGGAAATAGATGTGGTTTCCCTGGTTGACTCTAAACCACCAGGTAAACCAGGAATCGCCATCGATTTGTTCGACCAAAACAACCAAAAAGGACACCTATGTACCCGTTCTACATACCCTAAAAGGGCAAATGGTTTCTTACCCTTCTCCCATACCCCTAATAAAGTAGGCTAGACAGATTTGTCCGAGACATATTCCCCAACCTTGCCATGCCATGGTAGCGCAGGGAGGAGAAAAAGAAGAAGCTTTTTTTTTGCAGCCCGTCAAAATGAACAGGACCAGCCCGCAACAAACAAACAAACAAACAAACAAACAAACAAACAAACAAACAAACAACACATGCCACCAAGAACGGTTATTGAAGTGTGTGCTTGTCACTTGCTCACTTCCGCGAAAAAGGAAGTTAAGCCCAGAGGTTGCAGGAAAGAAGCACGCGGAGGTTGAAGATTCGGGACATCCTACAAGTTTGGGCCCATCGACCCCACAACTTCCAGCTCTTGGTTGGAACTTCCAGCTCTTGGTTGGAACTTCCGGCTGTTATTTGGAACTTCCAGCTGCTCTTGGTTGCTTTCTGCTCCCCTGCTAAAAGTCTAACTTCTGGTGGTTTAATGGGACAAAAACCCCTATGTTGGCAGGAAAAAAAGAAAGAAAAAAAAATCCCAACACCCCTTGGCAAAATTTGCACCAAAGCCTTGGTTTTGGAACGAGAAAACTGCGCGCCGCGGCTCCCAGCGACCGACAAGGCGCTGACCAGCCCCGAGAAGCGCGCGGCCATGCTCAGCTGCTCGCTGCCCGTGAAGACCGCGGAGGGGATGATCTCCCCAAACCTGATCCATCGAGCCGGGGCCGGGGGTAATGTTCACCCCGGATTAATAAACCCTGGTTGATTACTAGATGGGTGTCCTCTTTTAGTGGGGATTCATCACTTTTGGAGGGGGCCAACTTCTTGGTGGACGTTCTGCGGATAGGGACGGGGCCGAAGGGCGAACTTCCCATTCTTCGGGGGGGTGGAAACCCCTCCAAGAGTGGTCTGAATCCCCACTAAAAGGGGATCAAAGTCAAGCAGGGTTTATTCATCCTCGGGCTTGACCTTGGTTGACCTTGGGTTTGGGGAGCAAAGAACTTAATGTTTGCAGTCAAGTGGAAGGGGATTTCAACCACTCAACCACAATAAGCAAAAATTTGCAAAATGTGTCCCAACGACCAAATGGCGGACTTCCTTGGTTGCTGTTGGGCACCTATGTTCTGTGCCCATTCACTCACATGGCCCTATGAAGCCCTCCCAGGACATTCATCCCCAAACCTGACAACCCCATGCTAAGCCCAGGTTAGGAAGTACGGTGGTGAAGGTTTGGTTGCTGCAAGGACCCCCCTGCAAAAATTGGATCACTTTTTGGGGGTTGAGTGGAAAACCAAAAAGTTGAAGTCTAAAGACCCAGCCCAATAATAGCAGTCAAGCTTTGTGGTTCAAACACCCAAGCCAATCTAAACCGCCAACCAACTGCTTTTTTTGGTTGCCCCACCCCCACCCCGCCCCGCGACGCGCCCGAAGTCCCCAGAAAGGTTCGCCCTCTTTAGTCTCCCATTGAGGCCATGGTCAAAGTTCCCTGCTTACAAAGGTTCGCACAGGCAAGCCCCACAAACTCAGGAACCTGCTTAAACATCACCCCCAAAAGGAAGCTCATTGTCAGTTGCTTCAAGAATCGATGGAAAATCCAGAAGAGGCAGGAAACCTTGTGAGAGGCCAAGCAGGCCTGGACTCTGAGTTTCTCCAACCCCCGAAACCGCTTTTTCAAGAAGAACCTTAGGTTTTCTGCGCGGAAATGTTCAGGAGACCTCTATTTTGCCTCTTGGCTTGTGGGTACCCAAAAACAGGATGGCAGCCCTACTTGCTTGCATGGAAATGAACAAGCAGAGAACCATGTCCTATTGCACACAAATGTCCAACCTATTCGACAGAGGCCTCCATTTTGCTCTGTGGCTCACCCCAACATCATTGCTTGTTTTTCTCCGGGTTTGCGATTGCTTTCAGGAAACAGGGATCCTTACATTATACACCTGAACATTGTCTTGTTAATGCGGTTAATGGGTGGTTTCCCGTTATTTGGGTGAAAAACGCCACGTTTCAAATGGTTGCAAAATGCCTTGGGATCCTGAGGAGACACCCCGTGACCGGTGACTGGACCCACCGGCTGAGGGCTGCGCATTAAGACCAGGGACACCGAGAGCACCACCGCCAGCCAGGACCTGAGGGAAAAAAAAAAAGAACTGGGCCCATTTCAGCGCCCTTGCTTGGTGGCTTGGAGACACTTTTCCGTGGTTTGGCCTTCTTTGGTGGCTTGCAGTGTGTTGGGGGGTGGTGGGGCCAGTTCAGCTGCCCTTGTCACGTTTCGGTGGTTTGTCCTTGGTGGCGTTGGCTTGGTTTGTGGATTGGTGGCTTCCACGCGTGGTTTGGAGCCCGGTGGTGTGGTGCTCGGGTGGCCCCATTTGCCCTCTGCAAGAACTAGGGGTTCAAATCCAAGTCCCATCCAAACCACCAATTGCAGGTTGTGTGACCCTTTACCCTCTACAAGAAACAGCCAATATTTCAAACCACCAATCCACAAGCCACGAATCCAAGCCCCAAACCTGCCCAAGCCACAAACCAAACCAATCCCCGAACCACCCAATCCCCGCCAATCCAAGACACCAATCATGGCTCAAACACCTCAAAAAAGGCTGCATTCCTCTTTGTTTCTCACGCAAGGTCCATTTCTGTTTCCGAAGCGACCCCGTTCCATTCCGCTTCTTCCCCTCAGGGACATGGTCCGCACTAAGGGGGTGCGCAAAGATTCTTGAACCTAGAAATGCTAAGAGTGGCGACAAAAAGTAAAAGGGATTCTGACGTATGTTCTCGTAGCTTCCACCTCAAAGGTTCTGAGAACCGTTTCCAGGAGGCCGGAATGCATTACGCTTGCATGGCTGGGCCTGAGGGCACGGCGGGACAATCTGGTCGAGGAATAAGGGCAACGCCTCATTGGCGATGGAGTTCATAAGCAGCAGGGTGACCTGGCGGTTCTCGCCAAAGGTTTGTGTAACCCGACTGCACATCGGACACGTCCGATTGCTTCCAGGTCCCTGTCTCCAATGACAGGGTGAGGCGAACCTCCTGGGCATCCATCTGTATGAGGGTGTGATTTTTGTTCGGGGCCTCTCCTCCTGGCCGAGCGTCAGACAAAAGGAAACCGTAAAACAGCCTCCCCAGAAGGCCATGTTCTGCGCGAGAGCTACTTCGAACTCGGGCCTCTTAGGCTGTCTTGTGAACATGATTTCCTACTAACATACTGTGGATGGACAAAATCCTGCACCACCCAAGAAACAATGGGGAACCATTGTTTGTTGGTAGTTACAGGGGAATCGAATCATTGCCAAGGTTTCTTAGACCATCCACAGTATGTATCTACATGGTCCTGTCATGTCGCGGCAGTTTTCATGATGTTGACTTCGGATTCACCCGCGGAAAAACCTGCTGATCCACTTCCTGAGGGGATCAGGAGGGGGGGTCCTGTGATTGGTAGGTTCCCCAGGTCCTCATGAGCTTCGCATTACCTCCTCCCTCAACCCCTTGGCCATCCATCCGGCCCATGGCAGTAGAAAAAATAGCATCTTCCGTGATGCCGATGCGGTTGATGCGTTTAACATCTTTATCAAGAGACTCCCCCTGGGCATCGAAACTGGCAACTCCTGTTCAACCATCTTTTTCGAAAATCGAAGAAGCCCTTCCATCTTGGTCTCCCATGTCTCCATGGTAGCAAACAAGCTTTGTTGTGTTGCAGCCCCCCACTAAAAATGAACAGAAGAAACAAACAAACAAACAAACAAACAAACAAACAAAACGTGATCCAACCACAGCGAAGCCCCGGTTTCCTTTTAAAGGCCAAGCCGGCTCCCAAAGTCCGGCCAACCCTCTCCGCCCGAGCCCCCGGGGGCGACGCCAGCAGCAGGTGGTGGTCGTGGATCAAGGGCAAGATCTTCTCCGCGGCGGCCTGGTCCTAACAGACGACCGACGCGAAAAGCCGAAACTTCTCACGACGACTTCTCTCACCGAGAGGTTTTTGGCCGAGTGGGTAGGATGGTTTGTACGCGGATGTAAAGGGACATGGTTAAATAAAGGAAAAATGTAACATGTATATATATATATGTGTGTGTGTGTGTACATATGTTTTTAGATAAGTACATGTGTTGCAATTGTTTCTCCTAAGTCATGAAAGAATTGTAGTGTCCCCCAACATGGCTAAGGGTTTGCTTGGCCTCGAGCCAACCAGTCCAACGAACAGGGCGGCCCAAACGGCAACGTGTTGCCCCTGCAGGACAGGAGGCCAAAGTCTAGTTTGCAACCCCTTCCTTTAGGGTAATGTTGACCCAGGAAATAAACCCGTCCCATTATTAGGGGGGTGTTCCCTCCACAAGTGATGAATCTCCACCAAAAGGGGACACCCCCCTATTAATCAACCAGGGGTTTTATTAATCCGGGGTCAACATTTTTGTAAAATTTCGGCTTCAACCCGCGCTCTAGGTTCAAGTGTGGTACGCAAAAAAAAAATGAACCCTGACCGTGGACCTAGGGCTAATTTTGGGGCTCCGAACCACGAATTTGACGAGCCATATTCATACTTAATTTCCGTTCAGCAACCAAAAGTTGACGTCACTTCCTGAGTGAAGTGGCCACAAAGTCCAGCCGATTGCTTACCACTCATGGTCTTCTCAAAAATCAGACACATGGAAAGTGAGTGGTGCTACAAGCGCCGTTGTAGCTCCCCAAATCAACATGGAACCCAACAACGATTTCCGGAGTGGGCGTGGGTCCCTGGCAATTTCAGGGCCCTCGAACCAAGGCAACTTCGGCAACCTTTTGCCTGAAGCCGCACTGAGCAAAAGGTCGTCATCAACCTTTTTGTAGGTTTAAAAGGACAAAGCCATGTGTGCCCAAAAGGTCTAAGAGGCCAAGTCCACACCAAAGACAAGCCATGTCGTGAAATTTGAACCTTCTGGAAGAGGTTGTTTGGGCGGGATGGTCTGCAGGGCGCGCTCACCAAGCTTCTAGTTTTTTTTGCGTGCGTGTCTACCTAAGTCTCTTCCAGTCAACCTATCTAAGCAACTATCCACCGTAGAGGACCTAGCTTGGCGGATTGACATGTGCTCAAAGCTGCGTCTGGAAGAATCGATCTCCAGACATTGCCCCCAAAAGGCAAGATTTGTGTTTGTGGCCTCAGAAAAGAAAATGAGTGAGGAGAATGCCGAACCCACCCTAAACAATCAAAGCAGCCGATGTCCAAGGATGCGAGAAAGGAAAGGAAGGCCCCTCAGAGGTTCGGACGTGAAAAACTGCCTTCAGCTGAAACTGGCAGCTTTTTCTAGGTCTCCCAGCTGAAGGGTGCTCCCCTGCTAAAATAGACTACAGAAAAAAGGTTGGTACCCTTATTCTAACCTCTCTACTGGAGGACCATTTTCTCAGGGAAACATATGGTGGAGGGTGGCGAAATCCTCATTTCACAGCACCTAAGAAACCATGGTTGACGCCATTGTTTGTTGGCATTTTGCAGGGGAATCGAAAACAGTTTCTTAGGTGGTGCAGGATTTCGTCCATCCACAGTATTTCTTGTTCCTTTCGATTTCCCTTCAAACGCCGGCAAACAGGGTCCCGAGCCTTACAAAACACAAACTCGGAATGCGCCCCACACACCACCTAAAACTGGGCATGACCATGTCCCAAATGGGGGAACCCTCTAAAACGAGTGGCTCCCCCTTTTGTGACACGATCCTCCCAAAAAGAGTACCCTCAAAAGACAGACGCACCAAAACGTGGCCAGCAGCAAACCACCGTCCACTGTGACAGTCCCGCAGTCACTTCTCTTCACTTACCCTCGACAAAAAAAGGACCCTGCGTGGAGGCCCCTGCAAAGGACCCGTACATGAAACCCTGAAGCCGTGGCCAACAGCCCTGAAATCCCTGTGGTAAATTCGAGACTTGTTGGCTGCTCGCGATACCCTAGACTTGCATTTGGTTCAGGCCCCAGGAAAAATATGTCCTCCTTTAAACCCAACAAGAGAAACTAAAAAAATACTCTTAAGCAAATGGAGGCAGAGCTTCATCTGCAATCCAAAACGTCAAAGAATTGGATGCGCAAGCCAAGGGGACTGATCAAAGGTGTTCGCTCCATTTTACACCCGCTTGCCTAGAAAACTGGCGGCTATGATTCCTTCCGCTCATCTGCGACATTCCCACCATTTCCCCCTTCAAACCCCAAAGGTTCACCTTACCTCTGCGGTCGTTGCTGTGTTTTTTTTTTTGTTACATATGTTTTAAGAACTGTTTTTTTTGTTTTTCATTTGCTACATATGTTTCAAGAAACGCCGTGCCCCAGGACGTGCTGCTCCTTTCTTCTTCTCTTCTTCTCGACACGGCGCGGGTTTCCGGGGCCTTCTTCAGCTTCTCCTTGGCCGAGGCTTCCAAGATGTCCTCGGGTCGCTTGAGAGAAACCCCTGCAGCCCTTCGGCCCACGGGTTGTTGGGACATATACGCACCGTGTGGAGCTTCTTCTTTCCTTTCTTTTTCTGTTTTTCTCTTCTTCTTCTTTTTTTTTTTGGGGGGGGGGGGTGATTGTTTCATTGTTTTAATAGAAACTGTGGATTTTGAGAGCCAGGGATTCACATCCAGAACGAAAAGCCACTGGTTGTAGTAGAAGTGTTAGTTTGCAAAGCATCGCGAGTCGCAACTTCGCAGCGCGCGTGCAGAAGGCGGAGTACACTTTGGCAGTGCCACCTCGAAATCGCAGCGTTGTAGAACAAATGTTGCGCGGAAAGCGCACTTCCGGCCTCCAACAGCCCCATTCAGGCCCTGTCTGCTAGAGAAAAGGCCGTTTCCGGACATGCTTCCAGCACTGAAACGAGCAATCCCGGGGCCCGCTCCCAAGCCTCCCTCGCCGAATGAAAAAAAAAAAAAGAGTCCTGTTTAGGCAGCTTTAAACACGAACTATCCTTCCCAAGGCTTCCTCTCCTTCAGCTTGAAACTCGCAACTTTGTGGCAGAAGTGCAAGAACGCGAAGTGCAAGCCCGCAGCTCCAGCTCAAGAAGCGATACAAACATAAGCTAAAGGCATCGCTGTTGTTGAGTCCCCAATCGTTTCTTCGTGGTTTCAAGCACTTCAAGCCGTATGGATGCCCATGTCTAGACGACGTTGCTTTTCAGGAGATCCTGGCCGTGCTTCATATGTGTATATATATATATACATTTACACGCACATGCGTCAGACGCATACACATGAACACGCATACTGCTACGAGGACTTCAGCCAGTGCTGAACAAGCAAGTAGAGTTGCCACCTATATCTGCCCAAAGCCTACGTTTAGAATTCAGAATGTCATGTTGGTTACAGTCAGGCAGGCAGTTTATGGCGAACAGCATCATAGTCTATCGATTTATTCACTTGCTGCCTGGTGCATGGGGCACCTCCAATTTGCTCGTATACTCTCGGTTGTTTTCTGCTCCGCTGCTAAAAGTTCAACTTTTAGTGGTTTGATGCAGTTGGCAAAAAAGTTAAAGTCCTAACATATCTTGGCAAAATGCACCATTATTACTGCAGGTAACCAATTCCTGCGAACTTCTGCCCGTCCCGTCCAACCGATAATCCAACAATGACCTCGCTCGCTTCCCGCCTTGTCTTCGGTCTTGACGATGATCTCCATCCTTAACCCGAAGCGCCCAAAACCCATGGACTTTTGGTCCAAATGGGCTTGCCTTTCTTGACAAAGATGCGGAATTCATGTGCAAGAAACGGGCACCCCCCACAAAAGACACATATCCGTATGAAAGCAACAGTTTGATAACTTTTAATGGGACCTGAAAAGGGAGGTTGGCGGTCTGCTGTAAAAAAAGCTGGGTGTCCCCACAAACCGCAGAGCTCTCAGCTCTCTATTTTCGCCCTTGAACATCACGCCGGAAGCAACCAATCCTCCTCCCCCCAAAAAAAAGTATGGTTCCGTGCTTCCCTGAAGAGACCCTTCCCCGCTTTATATATTCGGCTTTTCCTTTTTGATACACCGGAAAAAAGGAGAGAAAAAAAACAGGGCAGCAGATGCAAATGTAGGAATATAGGGACTTCCCCCCCCACCAAAAAAAGTCTGGTTGGGTTTCCCTGTAGAACTCCCCCTTCCCCTCCTTAAAAATTCGGTTTTTTCATATCTAGCACCCCCCCCCCCCAAAAAAAAAGAGAAGGAAAGAAGAAGAAAAAAAGGAAAACCGAAAAAACCAAAGGAAAGAAGAAAAAAAAACGCCGGCCCCCAGGCTCCTTTGAGCCGAGCCGAGCCGAGCCGAGGGGCTCCATGGGGTCGATGGACACCAGGCCCATGGTGAGCCCCGCCGCCAGCGCGGCGCCCACCACGCAGACCAGCGCCAAGGCGCAGGACTGGGCTCGGAATTTCCCCGTCCCCGAGGCTTTGGGTCGCTTTGGGTGGGGTGTAGGGGGTGGGGTGGGGTGTAGGGGTGGGGGGTGGGAGGGGCTGGGGGGTAGGGGGTGGGGTGGGGGAGAGAGGAGGCCCACTTTATAACCTCCGTGGAGCCAAAGGGTTTTCAGCTTCCACGTTGGGCCGGGGAGAGGTAGTTGTGTAGAGGATACGGGGTGGTTCCCCACGCATCCAAACCAAGGGAATTCGAACCCGAATCCGAATCCGAATCCAAGCCACAAACTTGCTTTGTCAGCTTCCTGTTTGATTGGTTTGGTTTGGGGTTTGAAGCCCTCCTGTTCAAACGCCTCGTTTTGTTTGGTTTCATCGAATTCGGGGGTGATGTGGCACCTCTCCATGCTTTCCAAGCCGAAATGGAAAACAACAGCCGCCAGTCGTGCTCGAGCTCCACTTTCCAATGTGAGAAAAAGAGTTAGAACTTTGCCACTCCACCCCTCCAGCAAAAAGATGCAGCTTTGCTCTAATGTGACTTTTTTGGATTTGTGGCTGGGTTAAGAGTGGTTTCCCATGTACTGTACCCTCCACAAAACCAGGTTCCAATCCCCGAACCATCAATCCCGAATCCAAACCACAAACTAAGGGTTACCTGGCTGTTTTGATCGTCTTCTTTTGGGTCCCTCTCTCTCTCTCTACGTTTCTCTCTCTAAGACACATTTCCAGCAGTGACAAACCCACAGAGGGAGAAATACAAATACTCATTTGGTCAAAAACCCGTGCCCCCAGTGAACATCCCAATCCCCACTAAAATAGGTTCTACCATGGGTGGTGCACCTATCCTAAAATGGTCTTCCATTGGTGTTGAACCATGGCCTCAGCAAACGGACGTGTTGTTTTTTAACCAGAGGGGCCCTGTGGAAGCTTCGCTTCCAAACGCAGACCGAAGCTTCACGTCCCGCCCCCCGCCGCCGAAGGCCTTGTTGAAGCCATCGCTACCGAAAGGCAACAGACCTCGAGGTATCGGCGTTTTGATCAAAACCGGCCGATACTCAAATGGTCTTGGAATTCCATTCATGGCTCCATTTTCCTTTTTTTGTGGGGACAACAATACATGGAATTGGGAGACCCCGACCCCCCCTCCTTGAGGTTGGGGGGATTTTGAACACTCATGGGTTGCATTGTCCTATGCTAACCTAGGTCCTGTAGAGAGGTTCGAACAAGGGTACCCGAAATTTATGGTCTATTTTAGTAGGGGAACCCTCCCCCCAAAAAGGGTAAAAGGGGCGTTGATTGTGGCTCAAGTGGTCTCCATTTAAGCACACCCACCAGAATGATTCTCAGAGCCCTTTGCTTGTGTTGCTGGGTTTTGGTCAGTGCATCAGCGGGTGCAAAAACCAATCAGGAGTCTAGACTTTGGGGAGTGAGATGAACATGGAACCTGATGGTGAGGTAGGTGTCTATGTAGGTTGGAATCAGATGGGTTTCCCTGGTAGATGAGAAAAAACCACAAGGTAAACCAGGAATCGCCATCTATTGTTCCAAAAAAGGACACCTATGCTGATAGGGGTGAGGTTATTGGGATGGCATCCGTAAAAGCCACTTGCCGCTTTGCATGCCGCTTTGCCAATCAACTGATCGCCCGCGCCTTCGCCGTGCGGCTGCGAAGCTAGTCGCTGATATTCCTCAGCTTCACAAAGAAAGGGCACCTTTTGAGGCTTTGATCAAGTGGGGCCTTTGGAGTTGCAGTTCAGTGTTGCCACAGCCAGACAGGCCAAAGCATTGATGGAAGTCGTTCAACACCCGTTGGGAAAGTACCCAAACAATTTGTTCGGGGAAAATCAACCCCTGACTGAAGGTGGCATGTACCACGGACAACTGCCCTTTGTGGCAAGTGAAGAACTAGGTCCTCCAGTAGAGAGCTTAGAATAAGGCTACCAACCTTTTTTTCTGTAGTCTATTTTAGTAGGGGAACCCTCCCAACCAAAAAAGGAGTGAGTAAGCACCTAGCTGGGGGACCTAGAGGGGGAAAAACAATGGGCAACCCGAGGTAAGGATTAAGGATTGCCACTTTGAACAGGCCGGGTCCCCACACCCAAAAACCAATCCACGAAGCTCCCAGCTCCTTCTCTCCTTTCAACAGATTTCCCCCCCTGCCCCCGACACAAGACAAAACAGGTCGCCCAAACAATCTTGCAGGGCAAAGGGTTGCAAGCCAATTCTCTGTTCAGGGCTGGTCATCCTTCAGCCGGCCTGCAATCTTGCGAATCCCTAACACCTGTGGAGTTTGATCGGGGGTTGTCTCCTAGCGGTTGGATTCAAACCACTTCTGGCGCCCCCCTCCCCCCTTGGGACAGGCTCTACTTTAATCCGGTTGGCCAATGTGGCCATGGGGAATAACCTATGGCTCCATTTTGGGGTGGAAGAACATCCATTTGCCACCTATTTTGACGTTCAGCAGGGGTACAGAATTTTGACCCACAGCCATGTCTTTCCGCAGCTCACTTCTGGCTGAGGCGGCGTCTGCGTTGCACTCATCCAGCGAGGTGAAGTGCGCAGAAGCACCAGCGAGGACCAGCGCCGCGAGCAGGCGCATTGTGCAAACAAGCACGCGGCCGCCAGACGTAGGGATTTTGGCCAAGCAGCTCCACCAACTTCTTGCTTGTTGTTTTTTGTTTGGGGGGGGGCGTCAGGGGTGCGTTTGGTGTTCTAGGCCCGCGTCGAATATCATCTCTCTCCTTCTCTTTCTTTAACGCTTTTTGTGGTGTTGCTTCACCTAATTTTGAGTCAGGGTGATGTATTGGCCGAATCTCGGATCCCACATCACATTCCGCCGCAGAACAAGAAACAATCTGTGTAGAGGCTGGCTGTCTTGGCAGAGCCATGGCTGACAAGATCTCAGCATCGACCCTCCACTCGTCTTGCTGATCATGCTTTCAAACCCGAGCCCAAGTGGCGCAAGCGGCCCAGGCGACGGAACATCAAGCCAATTGGCAGGAATCGCAAGTCTAGGTCCTCCAGTGGAGAGGTTAGAATAAGGGTACCAACTTTTTTCTGTAGTCGATTTTAGTAGTTTGGAGCCCTCAAAAAAGAATGAGAAAGGGAGCTGGGGGACCTAGAAGTGAAGGGGTTGCCAACCCCTCCGAAGGATGGTAAACTCTGAAGGATCGCCTCCAAGAAGACACCCACATGTGTTTCCAGACCCCTGCTGCACAAAGGTTGCGGGACCCGTATGGGTCGAATACAAAGGCCCTTCACCGGGTTGGACCTCCCTCCTCTAACAAGGCTTTACAAATAAGGCCTTGACAGAAACTTCTCAGAAACCGGGGGAAGGGGGTTTGTATTAGGGGGCTTGCCATTTTCTGCGACCAACTGGAACAAACCACCTGTCGAGTCGTTTCCGCAAAGTCACCAGATCGCATCCATTCGCGCCCATTTTTTGTCCACTCGCACATTGGCCATGAAAGGAATGGATTGGGATCTTCACACACGTCCTTGCCAGCTTCGGCAAACAAAAGCGAAACCTAAATCGATGCAGTCACTTGGCCTAGGCCCGAAAATCAGAGCCTTCTGAACCCTGAGGGAAAACGGCCCAGATCGAGAAGTTCTCGTATAGCGCCTCTTGCGGCCATGGTTTCTTTAGTGGAAGCCCTGTCCCCAACCACCGACAAATAAACAAGTCCCTTTCTAGGCCTCGACCATTTTCGCCTGTCGCCCAAGTGGCCCGAAAGAAAGCAAGAGGGAACCTCTTTAGGGGTGGATCATATTGACTTGGGAACCCGAACAAAAAAGGGACAAAGGGTACTGACAGGTGTGCCTCACTTCCTCTAAACTCGGGTGGCTTTGCGCTTGGGGCTCCACACTCTGCGAGCAACAATGTGGCTCATGCACCCTTGTTACATGAGACTCCGTTCGGTCAACTGCCCACATTCAATGCCCGGGAAGCCCTAAATGGGAGTACAAATGTGGGGGCCAGCGGTCCAACAAGGAGAAAGGCTAGAGTCCAGCCGTTCCCCTTTTGGGCGTAACAAACTTGGTTGCTGTAAGGACCCCCCTGCAACAAGTTTAACTTTTTGTGGCTTCAACGGGAAAACCCCTTGATTTCCCAAAAGGCTAAAGTCTAAAGATCCAACCCAATAGCAGTCAAGCAAACAACCCCTGCTTTAAGTCTACCTTGGGATACTCAACTCTGGAGGAGATGCCTAACATCGGACGCTCCAAGCCATGGTTCAGTTGGCTCCAACTTCGACGCTGCCCTGGGGCGCTGGTGTGGGGCGAGCCAAGCAGCCAGAACGCCTCAAACAGGGCATGCACCCCCTGCTCGCAATACCAACCTTTTTTGGGGGCCAATCTTAGAGCATTTGATGAGTACCGGCCTTTCTTAGTCCGGAGTTGGCATACCGGTCACACACACAAATGAAGAAGGACTTGGAGCAAGGGGTTGCGACCTTAAGGTGTAGGGTGGGGTGATCGGTCCCCCGTGTTCCGGAGGGGGCCACCGACACGTCTCCTTCTGCCCTGGTAGATTTGCAGCAGATCAAAGACGCCGAGCCGTGCGCCCTGGCCAGGATGTCACCATGCAACCTTGCAGTGCTCCTTCGTTCGACTTGAAACAAAGCAACTCGAAAGGCCAACATCCAGCTTCGGGAATCCCCATTTGGCTCTCAGCCAAAGAAAAACCCACCAGGAATCATCACAGGTGCGCGACCTGTCGTCCAGAAAATGCCGAGCGCAGTGATCTGCGCGTTTGGGAAGATCTTGAGGCGGCATGGCTCATGGGCACAGCGGGGCGACGACCAAAGAGCTGCCAAATCACTCGGCGGCCTCACGGCACCGCCTCACGGCACCGCCTCACGGCACCGGCGGCACCGCACAGAAATCCGCCATCCTCGGAGAACTCGACTCGGACGGATTCGGATCGCCGATCGCCCGCCGCCCGCGGAAAAGCCCGCGGGGGGCGGGGGGGGGGGGGCCCTGGGCACAAAAGAGAGCCGAGGCCCTGAGATCTGAGGTGCGACACAACATCTGAGATGTCCCCAACCTGAATGGAGCTGGGCATGTCGAAATGCCCCACTTTGCCAGTAGGGTTGCCCAAAAGCCACCTGCTTCGGCAGAAAATCCTTTCAGTTCAGCTGGGAGGGGGTTCCGCAATTTCCCCAAGTACAATTGATGCGCCTCAAGCTGGGGATTTGGAGCCCCACGCCCCCGCTCCCCAAAAAACGCTTTGCGTGGAGCGGCCCAGCGTGCTGCAGGGAGCACTCGCAGGTCTTCCAGAGACCTGGACTTCTCGGGGGCTCAACGGTACAGATCGGAAGGAAGGCTGGGATTGAAAGGAGGGAGGAAGGAAAGAAGAACGGAAGGCAGGCAAGCAGAGAGGAAAGGAAGGATGTAAAGGGAAGGAAAGGGAAGGAAAGGGAAGGAAAGGGAAGGAAAGCCAGGAAGGAAGAAAAGGAGAGAAGAACTGACGGAAGGAAAGGAAGGAAGATTATAAATGGAAGTAACGGACCTAACCTTTGGGAATACCGTGGATGGACGGAATCCTACACCAGGAATGAAACCCTTTTGAATACTGAGATAAACCATCTACCAACGGGTGCAGGGTTCTGTCCCTCCGTAGTTCAATCGGCCCCAAGGTGATGCTTAAAACCACAAAGGGAAAAATACAGAGAACCCTGTGTTCCTCAACTATCCAACCCTTGGTATGCTAGCAAAACACTTTGTTTTTTGCGGCCGCCTCCTGAAAGTGAGCAGAAACCGACAAGAATGAACGAACACCTAAAAAGCAATATCCGGCAACAGTGAAGGGGAACCTCCAAATCTCCAGGAAAATGATGTCCCACCAAAAGCGAGCCATGGAGCTGCAGGCGCTCCCTACATAAAGGAAGCTTGCCACTTGGCTCCCAGCAATGTTTTTTCCCCAAAGGGGTGAACCATCGCTTGGCAGAAGGCCTCTTTGTGAAACAGTCCGCACATCTCCCCAAAAATTCTCCAGGTCACCCAAGGGTCGACCCAAACCGATGTAAAGAATCTGGGCCGTTGCGCCGCCAGGTTCGACTGGCCCTGTGTGCTTGGATGTCCGGCCAAGTAAGTAGCCGCTTGTACCCCGCTTGGATCTCAGGGGTTAACTCCGCTGAACGGCTGACTTACCAGTGGCTTGTCACCTGGGATTACCCACTTACCAACCTGGCCGAGCCCCCAGACCACCGTCGCTAACTCCAAAAAAAAAGTGAACATGGGAACCCAAGCCTTGGGCCCCAAGTCGCAAGAGGAGCCTCCGATTTGTCCTCTAAATTCCTTCGACCATGGGCTCTTCGGAAACCCCATTGGCAACCCGAGTCCCTTCCAACGGCGAGGGCTCACCCCTCGAGGGCTCGATCGGAACCCCGAAGGTCCGACCTTCGCAGTGGCAATCGAAGGGCGCCCCATAGGTCGACCACGCCTCCGCGCATTCAAAGGCGGCTGCAGCGCGCGCGCAAGATATGCGGCTTAATTGTCGCGCACATCGATGGAAGCAACGCATTTGTTTTATTTATTTATTTCGGAGCAGGGGTGTGGACGATTAAACACATGTTGCAAGCAATTGGCCCCAAGGACTCTCCTTGAGTGGTGAATGGCCT